ACCAAATATGTGCAATAACATTAATCATAATTCAAAGACTAAATGAATTATGGAATTAATGTACAGTAATGGCAATAGTTAGTTGCCTTAAAAAAAAATTTCTTATCTGAAGCATTGTCACATAAACATAATTGGAAACAAATCATGATTTATAAATAAACCATAATAATAATGTTATCATTAAAATATTAATGGTAATAAATAACCTTATAATCACCATTAATATTTGGTAATAACAACCAAAGTATGCTAATATACCCTCTTTAATATTTCCATTTTTCTTAAGGAAATAAAATGTGACAATTTCAAAATTATAGCAGTCAAATTATAACTATAGCACTAATTATCAAAAAAATAATGATAAAAACTTAATGACTAACCTTAATGATCCAAACCGCATCCACCATAGTGCTAGAATTCTCCCATCATCACCGTTAGTAACCTCAATGCAACGTCACGTAACAATAATCACCAAATAGGTAATCTTTTCAAACATAATAGATTACCAATAAATAATAATTACTATAAAAGGTAATAAATGAGATTAGCCCCTAAACTTAATAACAGTAATTAACAATGTCAATTTTAACTTAATAAAAACTATAGAGGGGATACTGAATGCCAATCTCATATTACCATATAATAATTAATCAAGATTATAATGTCTTTTAGGGGGACTGAAATTATGGTAATAATCAAATTACCATTGTAAAAGCAATATACCAACTATATTGCTTACTATATCATTAAAGGAATTAATATTATTATTAAGGCCTTGAAAACTATTGATAGATTAAAAAATATATAATCAACTTAAACAATAGTTGTAATTCTTAATGGCCAAAATAACAATTATAGTCCTTAAATTCTTAATGGCTCATAAATAGACCCATGATAGTAATTATAGCACTTAATCACTCAAATTAGACTCATAAACTCAATGGTCCAAGTGACTTATGACATGGATATAAAATGATTTAGTACTGAAATATATCCAAACTTAATATTATTACCAAACATGAATACCATTAACAAAATATGGTAGTTAGTAATAATTAAGACTTAGTGAACATGTTATGGATAATAATCAATATTATTACCATAATAAACATATTATAAGTCAAACTAAAATGGCTATAATTAACATTAAAATATCACTCAATAATGGTGGGATCCAAACTTTAATGATCCAATTTATGTCCCAAATAGCTTGTTCAAAATAGGTTTTAAAGTCCTAAGTAAAATATAGGACTAAAATATGTCCAAAATTAAATGGGAAACCAAAACAAGGGACTTTAGTAGGCCATCATGAATAAAATTGGCCTAAGGATCCTAAAATTGAATGACATTTAATATAGAGTATGAGTTAATAATATGTTAATCCAACTTTAATGCATGCTTTTCTAAATACATAATTATAACAAAATAATTTATGAATATACATAGCATGCTTGAATTTTTACATATTAATATATACTAACCCATAAATCCTAAATAAATTGCAATACTTTAGGCAATTTAATATGCATCTCAATATTAAATTAAAATTCACATAGCAAATTCAATACTTAATATTTGCTCAAAATTGAATAATAATTTAATTATGAATTTAATGTCAAAATTAAAAGGAAACAAAGACATCAATATTCCAAAAAAACATGCAATTACTATCTATTTACCATTTGCCAATAATATACAATATTAAATTAGATAATATTTATATGGTAATAATTAACTAAATAATTACCCTTTACCAAATTAATATGTAATCATTAATAAGGCAAATAACATGTATGGTAAAAAGAATAAAGGTAATTGCATTTAATAAGGAATTGTATTTATGTACCAATACTCCGTCTTCTTCCCTGCTTTTACGGCCGGCGAGCTTCCACGTACACCCATACACCCAAACTGAATCAGACGCCACTGAAGGAGGAGAGGGTGCTGCGACGCCGTCTCACCTTGTTGCTACGCCAAAGCCTTGCCGACGTCGATCCAAACTTCATCGCCGTCGCTCACCGCCGGAGACCGAAACAGGCAATTAACAAATTCCTTGTAGTTGCTCAGAAAAGTCACAAAAATAATTTCAGAAAAATAAAAGAAATTAAAATTGTGCATATGCCAAAAAATAATTTTTAGCAATCTAAATATAATTCTTTTGAAATATACACAAATTATTATATCATACAACCAAATAGATATATGCATATTTCGAAAAAAAAATTAATATACAAAATATATACCAAAAACTCAAAGTATATATTAAAAAAAAAATTAATGTTGATTAAAGCAAAACAATCAACCAGGCAGAGATTCATAAAGGCTCTTGATACCAAATGTGAGATCTAAATATACAGAGCATAATCTACGAGAAACTTAACTCGTAGTAGCGGAAGCGGAAGCACTGTAGATCTCCAGCCATGGTTGATATCTTGTTGTATTGCCTCTTGAAGTAGATCTGTAGGGTTAGCCGTTTTGTCTCATACTTGACTCAGAACCCTAGATGGTGTATTGGTATTTTCTGAGCAGTATAAGTACCATATAATGAATCATGTATCTTGTATCCCATCAATACAAGCTTTATATAGGCACATTGGTGGATATAAGACTTAAACCTAAAGGTCCAACCCAACCAATTACCTAGTCCACTTGCACCACATAAGTAAGATCCATAATATATAATATATATTATACGGGAAAGTCTTACACAATTTACATTTAAAGTCAGAGAAATTTATCCAAACAATTGTGGTTTATATTTTTCATTGTTAATTAATTAGTGTTAGGTACAAAACCATAATCTTGACGAATTCTATTGTGATGCTATAACAGTTTCATAGAATTTTCAAGTTTGGGACAAACCCTAACGTAGACTAGCCAATAGAGTAAACTTCCAAAACCATTGCGAGTTGAATATTTGTAAGGTGTTAAAAAGAATTTTTGAGATTAATATATTGATTCTTTTTGGTAATATAATTAATTTATCAATCGCGTTTAGCTTATTTGAACAATATTAGTTGTTTGACCTGATAAAACAATCAATATGAATAATGCTTGATTAATTAGTTTTTTTGTAGTAATTATTGCTCTAAAATGTTAAAATTCAAAAAGTTGTTCAAAATAGTTTTTTCGATCAACTTTTTGATAAAGTCATTTTACATGTAATCAGTTATCAACTAATTTACCAAATATTTTTATACAATCAACTAATTAAACCCACTAATAGTTATTTATCAAACACTCCCGTTATCAGTTTAGAATATTAAGTTTTTTAGTAGATAAAAATAAGGTTGATTTTTGTTTTTTTAATGGCGGCTTGTTTTTCATTTAATTAGTTGTTTATTCACATGGTTTAACTTAATTAGACATTTAATTTATGTGTCAATTAACGCCCTACCCACTTAAACCTTACTTGGTCTATTCGATTGCCTCTTTCTTGAGCAATCTATTAAAAAATAAAAATTAGTGACACCGTAATACATGCCTTTTAAAACTTTTTTAAATGAATCACTATCCCATAGGTACGTGTATATATATATATATATATATATATATATATATATATATATATATATATCTTGTTTTGTGTTTCATTAAGGGATATGATAAATTAAACCGAAGGTTACGGTTACACTATAAATACATAAGTAAAAGAGACTGCTCGTAGGTCAGTCAGTCGATCGGTCTACAGGTGATGACTGAATGGTCCGGCTAAGTAATATTACAAGGATCACCACAAACGGATTGCTACAAATGGTTGAACGTTACTTGGTAGTTTAATCAATCTTTTAAACGTTTAGGGAGAACAAAATATTCATAGGTTTAAATGAATATTAAATGAGGCAAGAGAAAAGATATAAATATTCATTTCCCTAATACAGTGTTTTTTTAAAATTCTAAAAATCAATCAAATGTTCAAATTTAATTATTAACTTTTTTTTTAAAAAAAATTTGAACATGATCCCACAATGCTGCTACTGAGTTTCATTTCAAACCGATCTCTTTACTCAAATACTGCTTACTAAATAAGTAAGCTAAACTCATGCAGATTTCGTAACTTAATTTGTTAGCGTTTTGAGTGTGGATCCAAATGTAGCCAACCCAAGTACCCAACAAATAGCACGATAATTAGTTAAAAAGACAACACCATTACGCAGCTTGTTTCACGCTGGTGGTGACCTTAATCAATTGTATCTAGCACTACCTTCCTGTTTCACACTTTCACCCACCCACAAATAAATAAATAATCCAAAAAAAAAAAAAAAAAAAAGAGCCTATAACATTGAATGTCCTGGCCTTTTGAGCATAATGCAGTAATGCTTTTATAAGCTTTCTAACGGTTGGGAAGATGAAATAAATACTTGCTTCAAAAGTAAAGTCTCTCTTTTTATGATTTTTACATTTGGGCTCGACAGAATTTTAGAATAAATCATGGTGATTTAGTGATTTCTTAGGTGGAAAAACTAGTGCTTTGTGCTCCACCACATTAGATAAAGGTCCTGCTCGGTAAAATTGTTAGCTTATGAGTCAATTTTGATTTATTTAATCACTATTAATTATTTAACTTAGTTAAAAAAATCAATATAAGTGTTTAGTTAAGAGTAAAAGACATTTTTTGTCCTAAACTTATAGTGACACGGACAATTTTAGTCCTTTATAAAAAAATTGGCCAATTTATGGACACACTTATTGTGACGAGGACAATTTTGGTCCTCCGTCTATTATCTCGTTAGTTACCGTCTAAACAAGGGATATTTCTGTCATTCAATACTCTTGCAGTCATTCCTGCTCCAGCTGTTCATTCAAAATCTTGTAGGAGTCCCACCGCAACTTTTCCTCGCCAAAGAGCCCATTCCTAGAAGCTTCTGCTAATAAATTCTGCCATTCAAAGTAGCAAGTCTCCTGCAACATCAGCTTCTTACGAAGTTTTTCCCTTGTTTCACCACTGCCATAGTCATTTTAAGCATAGATTTCACGACGGCAGGACAAAAATGGCGATGGAAAACAAATAAGCATTTTACTAGCTAATCAAACAAGAGCTCATCCAAGCTACCAATCATTTCAAGGTAAGACTTAATAACAAGCAATACATACTATCATGATTGTTCTCCTCAAATCAACATTTCCTAATACCATAAGCCTGGTTATTTATGCAAGACATCACCTTAGGGTCCTGCATTGCAAGCCTGATTCTCTCTCTAATCTGTTGCAATGTTTCTGCAAATGAGCATGCTTAACAAGTATAACAAAACAAATGTAAAAACAAAAAATCAGAAAGCCAAAATAAAGAGTTTAGAATTACCAGGACTGTGCTTCCTGCCTTTATTCCAATGAACTCTCCCTTCGTTAGCTTTGGGGACCCTCTCATCCAATTCAGTTGAATTACCAGTCTCGGATTGCTGCTCCATAGCAGTGCACTATAAGCTTCTTGATTCAATACTTAACTTCACACAACCTTCATAGCAATCCTTCTCACTGCTATGGTTTAAAGCTTTCGAGATAGAATTCCGATTCGCTATGAGCTATAACTTAACAAGACTAACTAGAAATCGAAGAAAACAGTGAAAGGAAAACATAAAATGGAACAATTCGAGATAGAATTCCGATTCGCTATGAACTATAACTTAACGAGACTAACTAGAAATCGAAGGAAACAGTGAAAGTAAAACATAAAATGGAACAAAATTGAGGTAAATCCAGAAAAGTAGAGGAAGGGGAAAATTCACCTAATAAATGCATCAGTTGCTCATCCAGACAACTAAAATGGTGACAGTTCAAGTATTTCGGGAATCTCCGAGCGGTTTTCAGATTCTATGCAGTTTCTCTTGTTCGTTTTCCGCTACTACCGTGGCGGGAGAGTCGACGGAGAATCGGTTTCGGACTTCTGACGACACTGCTATGGCCACAGACATTGTAGCTCTAGTGCTTTAGATAGACGAAGATAATTTTGTTCTAAAATTTAAGTAACCCCTGAGAAAATTCGGAAGTTAAACCCCCCTCCCCCCACCAAAACAAAATCAACTCAATTTGGGGAAGAAAATTGAATTGACAAAAATGCCCCTTATTTAGACGGTCAACTAACCAGATAATAGACGGAGGACTAAAATTGTCCTCGTCAAAGTAAGTCTGTCCATAAATTGGCCAAGTTTTTTATGGAGGGCCCAAATTGTCCGTGTCATTATAAATCTAGGACCAAAAATGTCTTTTACTCTTTAGTTAATTAGCTTTTTGTAACTCTAAACTAAAATTCAAAAAGTTGCTCAAAACAGCTTTTTCAATTGACTTTTGAAAAAAAATTATACCAAACAACTATTGGGCTTGTTTGGTTAGTGGCGGATCTGCCAAAATTTGGCGGATCCGCCATTTTCAGCATTTTGACTTCGGTCAAAACGCTGAAAATAGTGTTTGGCAAATGGCGATTTGGAGCGGTGGATTTGCTCCAAACCGCCAACTACCAACACGCTGCAATTGGCAGCGTTTTACTATGGCGTTTTGGGGAAAGAAAGATCTTTCCCCAAAACGCCCCTATATATATATATATATATATATATATATATATATATATATATATATTATAAAAAAAAAATTGTAACTGTATTTAGAGCCATTAAGGCTCCTTAATTACAGGAGCCTTTTTGGCTCTTTATTATTAATCTCAAAAGAGAAGTGATGCTCTCTTGAGGAGGGCAATTTATATCCTACACCACGGCGTACATTGCACTATGCGCCCAGATGCAAAACGACGTCGTTTTAATTATTTTTTTTTTTTTGAAATTTCCCGCCCCAGTGAATGGCAGTAGGCTTTTCTTTAAAAAAAAAACCCGCTGTTCAAGAATGTACATAATGTTATACTTGAATACACATAATGTTATACATGAATACACATAATGTTATAACAAAATATACATACTCTTTTTAAAAGATAATACACATAATCTAACATAATACATAATAAACATAAACTTTTAACATAATACACATCAACTCTTAACATAATACATACAAATTTTCTGATTCGGATGTACATAATTGTATAAAAACAATGTACATAATTGTATAAAAAATACACATAACTGTATGAACGAATACACATAACGTTGTGAACGAATACACATAATCTCTGCAACTTCCTACCGCGCCTCCCAACACGACCCCAAAACGACGTCGTTTTGGGAGGCGCGCGGCGCACAGTGCTATGTGCGCCGTGGTGTAGGATATAACGATCCATAGAGGAGCTCATTTGAGCTCCTCTTCCTGAGTTACCGATGTGGGATCAAAAAATGATCCCACGTCTGTAACTCTACTTTGTTTTTTATTTTTTATTTTTTTTATTTTATTTTTTTTTTATATATAAATTTCTTTAGGTCATTTTATAAAATATATGTATACCCTTTAGTTCATTTTACATGCTAACTGCTAATTTAAACCGCTAATTTTACCAAACACTTTTTTACAAACCGCTGACACAATTCGTTAGTCAAACACGCTAACGCAATCCGCTATTTGCTAGCCGCTAACACAATCCGCTACCGCAAACCGTTAACCGCTGATTGCCAAACAAGGCCAATATTAGCTAACAGCTAATTTACTAAACACTATTATATTCTATAATCAACTAATGTTATTAACTAGTTATACCTTCTAATTAACTCAATCAGCTAACATCCATTTACCAAACATGGCCAAAATCTTTATACTACGATTGTTATGACCTGATCATGAGTCCTCACCCTCATCTAAGTACCAACTGATGAGCTGCTTGTGTGGTGGAAATATATACTCACTTTCTTATTTTGCTCAACAAGTGCTCTGCAACCGTGTAAAGTACACAAATTAATGGTTACAAAATACTTGGAAATGTAAATTTTTTTTAGAAATTGAAAAATATAGAACAAATACTACCTTATAAAGAATTATAAATGTTTTAAAAAGAATTTTTTTAAAAAAATAATAAAAATTCTACAGTACTACAAAATTCCAAACTATAAAATTCTTTATATTTTAGGGTATCACGTTAACATTGTGAACTTTGCATGTGATATCGTGTATGATTATAACCATGGGGCTTAGAATGTACTTTATTAATTAATAAGGTATGCTCATATTTAGACTGTAGATTTAGGGTCCATTTGAATATTTAGAAAATAATTTTTGAAAAATAATTTTTTTTTAAATAAACATTTAAAAGTCAAGACTTTGTGGTCTAATGGCATCCAGGTTGTACATAACAAAAAGATAAAAAAAAAAAAAATAGTCTCGGTGCTTATATATTTTATTTAATAAAAGATAAAGAAATTGTAAATAGCTAAATTATAACAAAAGTAAGTACTCTGGCCTCAGAAGTGCCACTGGAAATATGTTTTATGGTGAACAAGTAAGAAAGCCACCGAAAATATGTTTTATGGTGAACAAATAAACTTCTTACATGGCTTTAGAAGCGTCGGGGGCATGGTACTTGAGATGCACTTTTGACAACCAATATCTGGCTTGGGTATTTGAGTTGTCTGCCTTCAAAGACAATTCAAATTTCTCCTCTGTTGAGGCATCCTCAAGGATTTGCTTCCAAGCAGACGGTATATGTGAAGTATTAAATTGGGAACAATAGATAACAACTCTAAATGTATATAAAGGAGCTACATTACTATTGGGAAATGCTAAAGATACCTGAATACTGCTAAAATCTTCTGAACTTTCAATTAAATGTTTATCCCTATGCCTTATTTATTGAGAGCTGGATTTATATTCTAAATCTACCTTAATTTCACCAACTCAATTGCAGTATTTTTTCCCTAAAAGGGAGTATTGATATTGAAGCTAGTCATCATAGATTAAAGGTTGACCTTTCAAAAAATTACCTAACAATATAAAAACTCAAAGTATTATAAAATCATAGAAAAAACAGCTTAGACTATTGAAGATGGACCTCACTTTTGAAGAACCAACATAAACCTCATAAAGATGGACCTCAATTTTGAAAAAAGACCTTTCTTATAGAAATTAATGAGTAAGTTAAGAATAATAAATAGTTAACGGAATATTCGGTTAATAAAGTTTATACTAACAGAATTTAAAGTTATTTAAGGTAAGAAAATAATATAATAAAAAATAAATAAGAAAAATCATTAAAAATACTAAAATCAAAATACTTTGAACTATTCATTTTAAGAAACAAGTAGTACCGACATTTTTTTTTATTTCAATTAAGTGCCTAATATTATTGGTTGAATTGTAGATATATATATATATATATATATATATATATATATATATATATATATATATATATATATATATATATATATATATATATATATATATATATATATATATATATATATATATATATATATAGGGTGAGGTTCAAGTGAGGCCAGGGTATTAGGTGAGGATTGTGGTCAAATTGCAGCCATCAGATCAGGCCAATTAACGGCCCCGATTGCACAAGGAGTCAATTGACGCGTAGTGAAATTTTGGTAACTAAGTTTACTAGTAATTAATAAAAGGGGTAAAAGGGTAAAACCAAAATTGATTGTGCAATTAAATAAAGGAAAGAGCGAAACGTTGGGGAGGAATGCGTAGGGTTAAAACGGCAGAAGTTCTGGGAAGCTGTCGGGATTGCACATTCACCATGGACGAAACCGAGAGCTCAAGCGACGACTAGTTGAAGCGGTGGGAGATAGTACACAATCAGGAGCTATGGCGAACGGAACCTCGAGAAGAAGTCAACGGTGTGCATCTGTTGAGGCAACGAGCAAATTCCGTAAGCGAAACCTTGTATATGTTTTTGGATTTTTTTTTTTTTTTTTTTTTTTTTTTGCTAACTTGCATGTAAAATTGGAAAGAATTTTTGTGAAATTCCATGTTCGAATGGTTTGTTTCTATGCAATTTTGGGTTATTATTATTATTTGTGTATAAAAAAAATTTATGGCTCTGCTGTCTGTGTTACGCGAATGAAGAAGATTGTGTGGTTTCTGTTCTTGTTATTTTATTTTTGTTGTGTTTTTTTACTAAAAACGCTGGTAATGGGGGTGGATTCAACCGTGGGAGTGGTGGTGGGTCTGGGATGCCGGAACTGTGACGACGGGTGCGACATTATGGAGACGGCGGTGGGGTTTCAAAACGTAGTTGATTTTTATTTTTTTTGGGAATTTGACTCAAACACGCCGCTAGTGGGGGGTTGGTTCAGGGGTGTGTATGTGAGGGCGTGGGGGTGCGGTGAGACAGGAAGGGCAGAGAATTGCATTAGTGTGCGATAGTATAGAGACATAGGTGCATATTTTAAACGTAGGTTAGTTAGAGTGTAAACACCGCTAGACATTGTCCATTGAAGTATAGAAACCTAGTATTTTTGTTTGAATGTGCAGTGTACGTCAAAGTTGACATCGTAATCAATTGAACAAAAAAAGAGAGGGGAATACTAAAAGCAAAAGACAATTTTAAACTGGTTGGGAATATGTAATGTGCATTTGTTGATTTAAGAGGGGCGCATGTATTTAGTAATAAGGTTTCATGACTAGGTAGTATTTGTGCAATTGAATTATGCATGTGTGGTACGGTTAGAGTGCATGACAGTACTTGTACTTGGTGCATTTTATTACACTGCACAGTAATTTAAGGAATATGTGGAATACTTAATGTGCATTTGATGAGTTTAGAAGGGTGAATGGTATGCAGTAATAAGGTTTGTTGACTAGAGGTAGTATTTGTGCAAGTGCATGTATATAGATACCTATGTGCATTCCCTTGATCAGTTTGTGTGCAGAATCTTTTTGTTTGGGTGATGATTTAATGGGAATATGTTAGAGAGTAGATACGATGCATATAATCAATAGTGATTACATAATTGAATATGTGTGATGAAGGAATGAGAAAAATGAGGTGAGGAATGAAGTTGGTTGGTTTAGGATGATG